TAAATACATCACAAGGACGTATGCTGTATATCTATGCCATTCACCACATTTACGATGTTCTGTTATTTCAGACACCAATGAGTGCGTAACTGAACCTTGTCAGAATGGCGGGACGTGTACTGATGTTGTAAATGGATACACTTGTCAATGTGTACCTGGATGGACAGGACCTGATTGTGCAGATAGTAAGTAATCAACATTGATTCATTGACTTTGCTTGGTATAAAGCTCTGCCACAGAGGTCCAGGTCCCCAAAATTCCCCAAATTCTCATAGAAGTTTAAATTGTAATTAATTTGTATATTTCAATATATACAAGGAGAGCAGCTTAGCTCAGTTGGCTAATCTGATGGGGTAGTCACTGTGTGTGCGCTGAACTGTGGAGATCTCTTGGTTCCCAGTTCAGTTTCCTTGCTCGCCTTGTGTTTCAGCTAGAGGGCTGAAACACAAGTTACACAGTGCACTGTCTTTCGAATGAGACATTTAAGCCGTTGGTCCTGTGTGCATTATTGCCCATGTGTACGTTAAAGAACGCTGTAAACTCTTCGGTAAGGGAAGTGTAGGGGACTGTCTCCCGGTGTACTGCCCAATCACCACCAGAAGGACCCCCACTGGAAATAAGTCTTCTTCTAGACTTTTGTGAGCTATCCTTGGTGTTTACACCGAATAAATCCAATCCAGTACCAATGACAAGCTATACTACTGAGACAATATACTTTCCTTAGATACTGTACTACATATGTATTGTAATTTTGTTATCTTTTGGCCTAGGATTCTTTTCAATTAAGAGTTACAAAACACTACTACACAAATTTGTCACATAATCTGTTTAGTTTAACTGCATTTTCAGAAAAAAAAAATTGTAGCAAATATATTTTGACAATAATATTTTCCCTTTTTTCAGACATAAATGAGTGCTTAAGTCAACCGTGTCAGAAGGGTGGGACGTGTATTGATGGTGTGAATGGATACACTTGTCAATGTCCACCTAGCTGCAGAGGACCTAACTGTGAAGAACGTAAGCATTCACCATTAATTAATTGACTTTGCTCAGTTGAAAGCTCTGTTAACTTATAAAACAAATAACTGTGATGGATAGATCACACAAATTTGTCACATTAAACCTGATAGTAAGTGCTTACTATTAATTCCGTGGCAGTGACAATAACTATGATTTACCCATATGTACAGTATGTGTACATATAGCCCAACCTGTTACCTGCATCTGTAAAAAGGTGGAACAGTGATGTTGCATTATGGTATTGTGTTTGATGTATTCAAAAAGGTTTAGACAAATATACAAAGAGTAAAACTGTCTGTCTATATTTTGATTTTTACTTCATTTTTATGTCTGACAATGAGAATTTGTCTAGTTGTTTTCTATTTTGTGTGAAGCCCTCTTGCATTTTGCGCATTCTGGACGGATTAGGTTTTAAATAGCAAATTAGTAAAATTATTTGCTGCGATTGATGTGAGAATTATGCCTGGAATTTGTCAGGGACTCCAAGATTTCCTCTCTCAGGATTTACAATCAGCTTCTGATTGTATTTAGCTTCGCACATGGGAAGCAATCTTACTATATGCACACTATCAAATTTTATTTGACAAAAATCACTGCTATATGCCCATATATAGGCATGATGTGCTCATATAAAAATGCACATGTGACATTCCTAAATATGGTCATGATTACTACACTCATGACTAAATATGGGCATTTTGTTTGATATTTCAGAATGCGGTGGTGACTACACAGGTCCATCAGGTGAGATTTCAACACCACAGGCAACCTACAGTCATAATGAAAATTGTACTTGGTTAATCACAGTCAGTGAAAACAAAGTTGTGAAACTGGTGTAAGTATCAAGCAAATATACTTTTCACAGTGTTGTAGGGATTGCAAAATACTAAAAAAGAACCTTCATAAACCTTCAACTCAATAAAACACTGCCATTATTCTCATATTATTCTGATACGTATACAACTGGTTGGAAAAAGAAAATGCAGTTTATGTGCATTGTCACCAACACAATCTGTTGGCCAGCCTAATTTTTATTTTTTATTATTAGAGTAATCACAGTATTAAAAAAAATGCAATGGTTATTGCATGGTGTTACAAAGGTAAATTTATTTGTTTTTCAATTGTTATGCAACTGGGTACTTTTTTACACTTAACAATATTTTTGTACAGGTTTTAACACATCTGAGAAATTTTATTTTTATTAGATATGTGACAGCATAATTGCATTTATGATTTTTATTTTTTACATAATGCTTTCAGCTTTTCAGTGTTTGATATCGAATCACACTCACTTTGTGCATATGACTCGCTTACCATTTACGACGGGCACTTGTTCAACGCTAAGGTACTTGCCGGACCTCTGTGTGGACAACAAATTCCCTCTCCTGTTGTGAGCACAACTAACAAGATGCGTCTTCACTTCTTGTCAGATTTTATGGTGGCATATGCAGGATTTAAAGCTAATTATTACGAAATTGACGGTAAGTTAATTAAAATTGGTCAACCGTGTCAGAATGGCAGGACGTGTATTGATGGTGTGAATGGATACACTTGTCGATGTCCACTTGACTGCAGAGGAGCTAATTGTGAAGAATGTAAGAGATTACAATGATGATGAAGATTATGATGATGATGATGATGACAATAATAATAATAATGATGATAATAATAGTACTTTTATGTCCGAATAAAGGCGCAGACCTTTAACTTTTCCTTAATACAGTATGTTGAGATCAGGCCTGGCTGACTAAATTTGCTGGAACCTTGATCAATGGAGTGAAAGTATTTCAGAAGCAGCTGAACGAGGATGATGATGAAGCTAAAATTTCTTGGCTTTAATTATGAAAAACATATTTATTTTTTTAATATGAGGATCTTCTAATTAGAGCAGCCATGAAATGTAAACTGGGACTAATAATACATCACAAGTTTGAAGTAATATTCATTTTAAAATTTCAAAATGCATTTAGTTTTAAATATGATTATTCATCTCTTACTGAAATTATTATAATTATACTTATTATTGATATTGTCATTGTTATTTGCTACCTATATTTATTGTTTTTATTTCAATATATGTTTTCTTTATTACATTTAAGATCCAGATGACTGTGATCCTAACCCGTGTTTGAATGGAGCTGTGTGCATTGACCTGGTGAATGACTTTAGCTGTACTTGTCCAGCAGGATTTGAAGGAACACTTTGCGAAACAAGTATGAAAACCCTCATCATATCTACATCTTACTGTTTGGTCACAATTCCTATAAATATACATATTTCCTCATTTTAGTTATAAAAGTATATATATTTACATCCTTAAAATTCTACATTTGGTTTCCATTGTCAAAAACATATATTTTATGTATGAGAAAATTTTTCATGGTATTTGATAGTGATATTTTCCTTTGTTTCAGACATAAATGAGTGCTTTAGCAATCCCTGTCAGAATGATGGGACGTGTATTGATGCTGTGAATGGATACACTTGTCAATGTCCACCTAGCTGCGGAGGACCTAACTGTGAAGAACGTAAGCATTCACCATTAATTAATTGACTTTGCTCAGTTGAAAGCTCTGTTAACTTATAAAACAAATAACTGTGATGGATAGATCACACAAATTTGTCACATTAAACCTGATAGTAAGTGCTTACTATTAATTCCGTGGCAGTGACAATAACTATGATTTACCCATATGTACAGTATGTGTACGTATAGCCCAACCTGTTAGCTGCATCTGCAACAAGGTGGAACATGTGATGTTGCATTATGGTATTGGGTATGATGTATTCAAAAAGGTTTAGACAAATATACAAAGAGTAAACTGTCTGTCGATATTTTGATTTTTACTTCATTTTTATGTCTGACAATGAGAATTTGTCTAGTTGTGTTTTCTATTTTGTGTGAAACCCATATATGTGTATATGTTATAGCGTTTACCATTGATTCATTGACATAGCCTTGTATAAAACTCTCTTCACTTTATATAATTGTATGTGAAAAATAACTTTGATATTGACACATCACACATTGTAGCATTAAACCTGATAGTGTAAACAAAGATTAACATGGTGACTATTTATTTGTGACAATCATGGGGGTATATGCCATAGTTCAGGCAATTGGTATTACTGTTTTTGCCTTAGTGGATTCTCTGGGCCTAATTGCCAAACAAGTAAGTGTTAGTTATATTTCAAATTTGAAAATTATATTTATTTAAATTATTATTATTATTATTATTAAGTATTTGTTAACCACATTATACAGTGCAATAAACTGTTTTGAATTATCTCTAGTAGGAAAAGTCTTAGATAGATTATAATAAATGTAATATTTTGGTATCTTTATTAAAAAACATGAAACGTCTGTACAATAAATAATTAATAGCAGTATAAACTAAATTTAAATACATGTTCACTTTTTTTTGCATTATCTGTTATGATATTCTGTATATTCAGACATCAATGAGTGCTTAAGCAATCCTTGCCAGAATGGTGGGATGTGTATTGATGGCGTGAATGGATACACTTGTCAATGTCCACCCGGCTGCACAGGAGCTAATTGTGAAGAAAGTAAGTGTTCAAATAAAGTTTATGAATAGGACGATGGTGATGATCGTGGATGATGATAATGTTGATGATGGTGGAGGGGACGATAATAATAATAATAATAATAATAATAATGATAATGATAATAAGAATAAGAATAAGAATAAGAATAATAATAATAATATTACCTGTACAATTAAAAGAACTTAGTGGAGTTACATGAAGATTAATGGAGTAGTATTGTATCCCAGTAGCAGCTGACAAAGGATGATGATGAATAATTATAATATATATTTCTTATATCTCATTGTTATCATTGTTGGTATTTATGTTTATAGGTATCAATGAATGTGAAAGCTCCCCGTGCGAAAATGGGGGATTGTGCAATGATCTTTTTAACGGCTATTCTTGCGATTGTCGTCCTGGATATGAAGGCACAAACTGTGAAATATGTACCTGTGAGTCCCTCTTCCCATTGTCTGTTTTAGCTCAGCAAAGTGTTTTGTGTCCTATTATTTCTCTGATTTGTGTCATGTTATTTCTCTGTTTTGTAAATTGTACTTATTTACAGTGTGCTGGTAGTGATAGTAATACTTAGTAGTTTGTTGCAGCGGGAATGGTTTGGTTTCTCAACCTTGAGGTCGGTTTTTCTATCTCTCGCTCTGCATTACGCTCGTGTCCTGGAGCAAGACACTTTATCTGCTTTGGTTTCTCTCAACCCAGAATTATAAATTGGTATCTGGTGGGGTTTCCACTGTGTTGATTACAGCAGCAACAATTAACCATGTAAACTCAATGACCGGGGACAGAAGCGCCTCATATTTGAATGACGCTATATAAATAACGAAGTAAATAAATACAGTATAGTTATATTTCCATCTGAATGGCATATTTTTTTATTTAAATAAAATATTTTACAACCACTCCAAATATTTAAAAATTTCTGCTATGCCATTTCTCTTTTTCATGAGTAAAATAGTTGTCATTACCCACATCTGGGTGGAGATAGTCAACTGTAGGTAGAGTGCCTTGACTAGGACACACAAGCGAAAATGCACAGTAAGTGATAACCTCTGACCTCCGGGTTGACATAACTGCAACAGCTCAATTTATAGAACAAAATAATCTTAAATTCTCCAAATTTCTTTTTGGAAACCTTTTGGTTTGTTTGAGAGTAACTATCTAGTGTATCTAATGATGATTTTGAGTTCTATTTTGAAAGTAGAAATTCATATTTGTGTATGTAAATCTATTAATATGTTTACTTTATTGTCTGTTATTTGAAATGCTGTAAGCAAATGCAAATGCCTCCCTTCACCACTACATTATTCCTAAAAAATGTTTATTTTCCCTCCAGCGCCTGCCCCTAGCTCATGGAAAAATAGAGGCGGCATGTTTGAAAAAAGGGGTTTTTTTTTTGGTTTTTTGTTCACAAATTTTAAAAAGTGATCTTTATTTTTACACATGAAAGTTGTCTAAATTTGGTGTCTGATGTAAGGTATTGCCATTCTAAGCCAAATTCATTGTAAAATATTGATTATGGGTTATTTTTTTTTTAGTCTTGAACAAGAAATAGTGAGACAGACTTAATTTCTAGCATTACAATTTAATATGTTTTGGTGACAGGAGAAAAAAAAAACTTAAAAAAAAAAATGTTTGCGCCCGCCCCTCCTATACAATTTTCAGCATTAAAGGGCAAATAAACAATTTATTTTTTTTAGACCTTATCACAATAATTCTTAATTTTTCTTAGCATTATCACAATATTTGTTTTGTTATTTGTTACCTTTAGACATAAATGAGTGCTTAACAGAACCCTGTCAGCATGGTGGGACGTGTACTAATGTTGAGAACGGATACACTTGTGATTGTGCACCTGGATGGGCAGGAACAGATTGTGAAGAGAGTAAGTATTCACTTTTCATTAATTGACATTGTTTAGCCTATTCAGCTTATTGTTTTTGGTACGTGTGTGAGTATGCTAATTGCTCACTTGCATAATCAATATATTCACGTCATCAAATTTCTCAAAAGTTTGTAAACAAGCAAACACATGAAGTATTGGTCATATAATTTTGCCCTGTTGCTTAAAAAAAATATTGGATAAATATTAAAGCAATACATGATAACCTTATTAACTCTCCACCTCCATCCATTACTTGGAATAATCTAGTGCTAATGGTACAATGGATTAGTGAATGTCTATTTTGATAAAATGCTTCCAATTGCTTTTCCAAATGATACCTGGACTCTAGGAATTTACTAAAAATGCAACGACTACTACCTAAAATTAGGAAGCGGTTTGGTGCAGCAGGAACGATTTGGTTTCCAAACCTCTAGGGCGGGGTTTCAATCACTCGCTGTGCATTTGGCTTGGTGTTCTTGAGCAAGACACTTTATCTGCATTGCTTCTCTCCACCCAGGAGTATAAATGAGTACCCAGTGGGGGTTACCTGCTCAAGTGCACAACTTACCAGCAGCAACATCAATGACCAGGGAAAAGAACTGGGGCTTTATAACTGCAAGGAAGAGGCGCATTATAAATGCCCATACCAGTACCAGCTGATTACCAGCAGTAACTCTCAAAGCGTGTGGACCCATGACGAGGGAAAGAAGTGTGCTTTATGACCTCAAAGGGCATGTTTTTGCTGAATAACGCCAAAAACATGTGTTTTTTATAAACAGTTAAATTCCTCCAGAACACGTTTCTAGTGAAAAGTGCAACTAATAAAAACACGGTAATGCGATCATTGGCAAGTGGGCGGAGCTTAAATGACAGTCACCCACAGGAGTTAAAGCTGACCTACTTCTTGCGAGCTACAGCGCATGCTGCGAAGAAGTAAACAAAACACTACGAAAGTATGAAAAAAGTATAGTATGATCTTCAAGCATGTCATCTTATTGGTTTAATTTTTTTCTTCGCCCCGAATTTCCCGCAGACGAGCGATCAAACCAACAAAGAGGTCAATTTGTGTCACCGACAGGTCATGACTGACACGGTATTGCATTTTCTGAACGCGAACCAAATAACGAATGCGTGTAAAAACACACATTTTTAGAATGCATTCCTAACCTTGTTTTTGTTTTGTGGCCTGTTTCTACTGGGGAAAAACACATGTTTTTTAATAACCATTTAAAAACACCTGTTTTTTTGCTCAGCAGAAACAGGCCCAAAGAAGAGACGCATTAAAAGTGTCTATACCAGTACCAGAGGACATTTAAAAAGTCCTTAACATTTTCTACCTGAATTAAGAATTTAAAAAAATATATATTTTGTGCTCCCTTCAATGAAATGTCCTGGATTCATTTTGTTTGGTTTTCTTATTTCTGTTATACATTATTGCAAATAGAGTAATACTTTACCAAAATGGCTGCATAGCAACCGTGGCCCTCGGAGAGGTCTGGTCATTATTATATTCATAATTAGTTCAGATTTTATGACAGTATTTTCTGCTTTGTTTGTAGATTCAGGAACGTGCTATAGTTTTGTGTTTGTTCATTTGTGTGTTTGTGCTGCTGGATATAGAGGCCTTTACTGTGAAATTGGTAAGTTTAAACTTTCTTGTTGCTTATTTGTGTTTATGTATTTCCAAAACTAAGGCTATGTTCTCACACGGCTGCTAACGGTTAGCAGGATCCGGATCCTGCTAACCGTTAGCTGACGTGCGTCCATACGAGAAAATCCACATCCGGATACCAAAAATATGATGATCGAATCACTGGCCAATAAGAAACTGGAAATTGTAAATGTAGATGATAAAAAGTGCTCAACTTGCTAACCGATAGCGCTTGCTAACCGTTAGCGGTATCTGTAAGCCGCTAATAGTTAGCGCTAAACTGATCTGGCGTTCTCACGCAGGTGCTAACGGTTAGCTCCCGATCCGGATACTAGGGCTCTCGTGAGAACCAGGCTTTAGACTTAAGCTAAAGTAATTGTCGCTGTTTATATTAAAAATAAAATGAATTAGAGAATGTTGGTGTACACTATTTGCTTTTGCTACACTGTGACCTAATATTCACTTTATGTACAAGGAAATAATCTCCACAAATTGTTGTATAATTCAGTTTCATATGAACATTAGTACTAATTATTGACAATAATGATGACGGAGGATGATAATGATAATGAAGATGAGGATGATGATGATAATGATTAGTTGGTGATGGTGATGCTAATGGAGATGATGATGCAAGTGGAGATGATGCTAATGATGTACTTATTCGAGCACTGTTATGTGGGGATTTAATGTTAATGGTGGTGATGATATCGACGATTATTCAATGTATTATATGAAGTCTTGTTTGCTTTTGTGCGTATATCTTTAGCTAAAGTAATTTTCTGGAGGATAATGATAATGGAGGATGATAATGATAAATTGAAGATGATGATGTTAATGGAGAAGATGATAAATATTTTTTTTTTACAATTTTACATTTCTTTGGAAAACTGAGCTATTGTACTGAAACAAACTGAAATATATTTTTGTTTTTTTATATCCATAATTGTAAACAACAAAACAATATAACAATATAATTATGAATGTTACATTAATTTTATCAAACTTCATTACAGTAACATTTATATTTTATGTTTCTATATATGTATCATTGTATGCATTATATATTTAATTTGGTTGTTTGTAGATATCAATGAATGTGCTAGCAACCCATGTGTAAATGGTGTGTGTAACAACAACCGGAATTCCTTTAGCTGCATGTGTGACAGCGGATGGCAGGGTAGTCATTGTGATGTTGGTAAGTTGAATTTGTTTGTGATACACACAACTATAATTTTACAATATGATTTTGTCTACAATACTGCAACACATCGGGAGGGATATCATGCTCCCTTACAAGCTATTTCCTCAGTACTACTATGAGATATCATAGTATTCCCCAGCCTACAATATCACCATGGTCATAATCTCTGTTCTCCTGGTTCCTTTCAATTGTTGATAATGCCTTTCAGTTGTTTCACTTATGCTTTGTAATGGACTTCCTAGACTGGGTTCCAGTCCCTAAACTTTGCCTTAATCAGTGAAAATGCTTAAATATAAATCGATTTTTACACCATTGGTGTTCCATATTGCTTATTTGCATGGCGTTCCATAGTATACATTTTCTGGGATTTCTAATTCCTAAAAAGTTTATCGATATAAGCCGACGTTGGTGGCGCTCTTCGAAAGTCTTTATACCTAGTCTCTCTATGAAAATCCAATAAATTAGAGACTTGTGGCAAGTCTATGGTCTTCCAAGTAATATACTAAATGATTCTTGATATCTTGGTTTTCGTCGGCTCCTAGAAAAAAACATTTGTTCATCTTGTAGATCTCGCTGAACTGTCTAATCTTTCTGTTCTTTTTTGTCTGATGTTTGTTTCATCTGGTGTCATTGTTGATCGCCAATTGTTATCTACTATTGTTATTGCGCCTTGTATACATTATACAATTTGTTAAAATGTCAAAATCCAATAGTTTTTGCATGGTACCATCTGTCCTTTGTGTCTAGGTATCTGGTCGGTGAGGGTCTTTTAACATATCCCACCACCAGTATAAACAGTGTTTCAAATGTTCAAATGTTTACAGTATGTGCCATTATGTATATTTTTACTTAAGGCAAAAACTAACATACTAATTCCCGATTCAACATCCCATGTACCAACACAACAAGGTTAATTGATGGCGTATTTTGATTTAGATATCCTGACACTATCACGCTGCATTTTTCTCCTTTAGCAGAAGTGGTCCATAGCACCCGAGTCTTTCCATTAAAAAAAACAAAACTCGGGTAATAAATTCTTTGCTGGTATGTTGAAGATCTTTGGGTTCTTAAATTTATTTATTGGCACTGAAGCCCATAAGATTACGTTTAGAAGTGAGTGACTGTAATGGGTTGCTTTGCTTACATCCCGATGGCTATAATGTCACCAGCCAGCCATTTTTTGAGGACTCTCTTGTTAACTCCCAATGGACATTCATACAACCAATTAAGTAAAGTTTATGGAGCTGCGGACAGCTACCTCTGGACCATTTGACAGCTCACTGTCAACCATCTGACAGCTCACTATGGACCATATCTGCAAATAACTTTTGCCTCATGTTGGTATACTTCTGTAGTGTTACAATAGTGCTTGAACAGGCTCTCACAACATCATGTAAAGAATTACATTTTCATTCAAGGTAGAACTTTCTCCCATAGTTAAAAACAAACATCCCTTTGTGAATTAACTGTGTACACCGACCATTGTGATTTTCCTCACTATTAAATGTTAACTCACAAACAACAGCTCTAATATTCCTGAATTTTTCAAGCAATAGTATTTTAGATAAGAAATTATAATGTCTACTCCAAGTATTGAAATACACGTCAGCGTGTATTCCAATACTTGGAGTATACAATACTGTCTTTTTTGAGAGTGGACCTGTCAGTATTTTAGCATTTACCTAAATGCTTAATTAAAATAGTTGTGCCCCAATTGAAAAAAAAAACATGCTCAAGTAGATGAAAAACCACCTCACATCACTTAATCACCACACTACCGTCAGTCCCCTATTTCAAGGATCCTGGATATGCCACTTATTTATAATTATCTTCTCTCCTTCAGATAACGAGGCCCCGATAATAACGTTTTGTCCACCAGATGTAGAGATTTTTAAAGGATCACCAACCAGTGCTGTTGCTTGGCTCCCTCCTGCTGCTACAGATAACTCACGTGTACCCCCATATTTTACAACAAATATTCAACAAGTGGATTTCTTAGTGATTGGAAATCATGTGGTGTCAGTAACTGCAACAGATGGTTCAGGGAACACCAACACCTCATGTACCTTTAACATTAAGGTTATCGGTATTGAATAATTTTAGGGAAATAAAGCATTTTGTATATTTTTCTGTTTTTGAAAGCAAGTTGAGCAATTTTTTAAATATGTTCCTGTCTTATTTTTTTAAAACTAGTTCACCTATATTGTTTCATTGGTTCATGTATAAAACAAAAATTTTAAACTGTTTATGATAGATTGACAAACAACACATCATACCCTGAGATAAATATTTCATATACACCTTGATAAAATTGTATTCTAATATGAAGACATAATAGTAAAATATGGCATTATAAAAGAACCGCGTCATCGGTACATTTTGTGTTTTAATTTTATGTATATTTGAAACTGTTAACTAAATTTAAGTTCTGTATAAGTAGCTTTCTTTTAATAGGAAATATATTATAGGCTACAGGAAATATATTTTAGGGTACATAGTCTATTTTGTCTTTTGTAAATCCTCCCTTCTAGATATTGAATAATGAATAAGTTTTTTGCATATCAAATATAGGAGCAAGAATGTGCATAGAATGAACTGTTAAGTTAATTTGCATATGGAAAGTGATTGGTTGATAACTGTTCAAATTGCATATAAAATCTACACAATCTGATTAGGCAATTTACTATACTGTACTATTTCATGACGTGTACCCTAACAAATTATTATTTTTGACTTGCTACATTGAGTAGATGATTTCATCATTAGTATAATTAATATAACTTTGAATGATTTTGTATGCAATTTGAGATTATTAGATTATTAATTAATGATTTCATTAATTTAGTGCTCCCGAGTTCTCGGGTTTCGATTGGGTTTATTGCGGGTATACATATACAGTAATCATTAACGAAAATGAGGACACTCAATGCATTACTGTACGTAGTGTGCAGTACAAACTGTACACACACATTCTTGTTTTGTATGTTATATTGTTATTATGTAGGCCTATTGTAATTTGTTTTTGTTTGTGTGTTTGTGTTGTGCATTTGTAAATACAGAGTTTGTAGTACAGGGGCTTATGTAGTAAAAGAGGCTCCAGTTCGCAATTCAAGTTAATTTATGGCAACAATATTTTTCTGACACATAATTTTATACTGAACAAGAAGGTTAACTGGCCGCCATCTTGGAAAACAAGATGGCGGAAGCATCTGGTCAAACATGGTATTATGTGGTATCATTGGAAAAGAAATCATGCACTTTATATTTTTTCCCATTACAATAATATGAAGAAATGCATAGAAACTGAGATATTCGCCATTAAACACGTCATTTATTTATTATACAGTATAATTTTTTTTTTCTTTTGGTGTGAATTTGATGCGTATATTATATTCAAAATATATGACCTTAAATTTCACTACATAATTACTATAAAAATGAAAGAAAAAAAATGTAATTCTACTGAAGTAGAAAATCAATAGAATCTGTTGAAAATGATGTTGTTTGTTTACAGTCATTTGGTTGGGTGGGGAGTTGATTATTTAAGGAAAAAATTATGGCATTTATTCCAAATGAGGCTCTAGAGGGGATAATTATTCAAATAAACACCGTACGTTAACAGATTTATCTATGATTAACACTTATCATGAAGAAGTTTTGAAGAATGAGACAATCTCACACCAGAAACCATTCGGGTACTTATGAAACGTGATTTTGGGGGTTAGAACAAAAAAGGTGACATGAAATATCTTTATGTTGACAATAGGCCTAGGTCTAAATAGTAATGAATTGTAGATTATTGATTCACCTACAGTAATAACAGGCACATTTCATTTTAATTTTTGTAATTAAAGTTCTCTGCACCATCTCAATATTTCTGTCTAATTTTGGAACTAAACAAAATCAAAGGATGGTGTGATAACAGCCTTCATGCATCTTGGCACGACAGAAAAAATCTTTCATGAACTTTTATTATCGATTTCGGCAATCATAGTGATCATTAGTATGTGATGAGACCGTAGAAGACTTTAAAAAAAAACACCGTCTTTTATGTATTTACTTTACTTTATCACTTCCAAGATAAAGTGTGAGTCCACACCCATCTCAGCCCCATCATGTTTGGCCTGAGGTGCGAAAATTATGGGAAATAAATAGTACCTTTAGATGGCCGGAAATGACACTTTTATATAGTAAAATTCGTCATCATCACATCACCATTATAGTAAAATTGAAGCGCCAACAAATTTCCCATGATCTTTTATCATCGATTTTCCGCAACCATAGAGATCTAATTAATATGGGTGATGTACCATAGAAAATAAAACTTATAAGCATTGTCTTTGATGTATTTTACTTTACTTACTTCAAAGCCGTGAGTCCACACGCACCTCAGCACAATCATGGTTGAGGAATATCTGAAGATGGCCGGAATGACAATCTTGCAAGCCTATAATAAACTCCATCATCATCATCACATCACCATGATATTTTATCTGCAATTTTCGGCAATAGAGATCTAATTAACTTGTACCATAGAAAATAAAACCTAATTGTATTTGTATTTACTTTAATTTACAGTACCTACTTAGTGTGCCGAAAACCAATATTGTACTTTTTCTCATACTTCTCAAATTATAATAAAGGCACGCGCACTCGAGTCGTGTATTGCAGATAATTCAGACATTAGTGGGAGAGATACTGGAATATTGGCTGTACAACGCTCCTTCGTTAAAACCTGGGTCTTTTTTACGCAGTTCATTTCAACAACTTTCAGGCATCATCTTTACTTATGAAATTAAATTGTGGTCGAAAGTGAGTGGGACCAAATGCCCTAAAAAATTGTTCGACATACGGATGGTTAATTAAGTGAAAATAATAATTTATACGAAAATGCGAATGAAGATCTACTTGTAAATTATTCGAGTTTGGCTCAGGCGACTAGGCTAGTTAAAGTTAAACTGACAGTACAGTATTTAATTAATTTGTAAAAAGATAACATAGTTCTTGTTTTTTCCCGATTTTAAACTAAACATTAACAACAGCGACCTCTCACCGTGTCCGTGCGTTCCTCCAGGTACAGGCGCAATCATTATATCGGAATTTTTAGAAAGCTAATAAGATATCGTAGAAATATTTAAATAATTAGAATGCTTATTTCACAAAAAAAAAAAATAAATAAATAAATAAAATTAAAATTAAAAAATTAAATTAAAAAATAAAATAAAATAAAACATTATTTAGAATGATCATTTGTACAAAATTAAGATACTTAAAATTGGAAAAAAAATGAAATTTCTTAAAATTGGAAAAAAATAATAAATACGAAGACGCGTTTCGAACTCACGACCTTAGGTTCTTCAGAACATTATTCTTAACCAACCGCGCCATTCATGCGACGTGCAGTGGTGGAAATGCCAATTATGTACAGTATTTTTTTAATAATTAGAATGTGTATTTACATTAAAAGGAGAGAAAAAAAAAGAATATTTAGAATGATCATTTGTACAAAATTGAATTACTGTACTTGAAATTGAGAAAAAATAAAGAAAGAAAAAATTGAAACCGAAGATGACGAGTTATGAACCCACGAGCTTAAGTTCTCTAGAACTCACATGCTTTTAACCGACCGCACCATTCATGTTCATTCTATTTAGTGGTATTGACAATAATGTAGTCATATATATATATATACATATATATATATATATATTATTTTATATTTTTTATATATTATATATATATGTATATATATATATATATATATGTGTGTGTGTGTGTGTGTGTGGTATAGTTGATCTCTTATACACATCTAGATGTGTATAAGAGACAGGTGTGTGTGTGTGTGTGTGTGTGGTATAGTTGAACCCGATTCTCAAGTCCCTCCTTAGACTACACACAAATATAACAGTAATGAAACTCAAATACCTAAGATGTTGACATCAAAAACACTAAAATTTATTTGATCATATGTACTCCTGTCTTCCTTGGCCATTAACAAGCCACTTTTGAAGTCAAATAATTAATGATTTCTTTAATCCCTTTAAATGAGATAGTCATTGAATTCTTAATGGTTTTTTTTTCTTTTTTTGTTTGTTTGTTACTTTTTGGCACAAAAGTTCAATACTCCGATTGCCGTTCGGTTCCTCTATCAATAAACCGAGATGAGACGCTGGCAATCCTGTTCTGGGAGCGCTTTTTTGGTAACATGTTGGCTATTTACACATGTAATCTTTATATACGGATTGTCGTGGGTTGTTTTCCAAGAAAGGCAACAACATTTGAAAACGTTCATAAATTGCTTTGAAATCTACAATTTTGTTCAATAATGAACGTGGAATATTTGAAGACACCCAGTTTGAATGTAAGTAGAGTACAGCTACGTTTTAAGGCAATAGTTTAGGTCGAACAAGGTGCATATGATAGGTAGGCTAGGCTAGGCCGGTTGTCGAGCGTGGTTGTAGATCACCTTTTCACTGTATGGTTCGCGACCCACGGATATGTTGATGGGTCGCATGGATCATCTCTTCAGTTTGTATTATTTGCTAATCCTGAAAGCAGTGCTAGGGTGGTATTTATACTGTGATTTTGTTTTGTTTCTATTTCAATTTATCACATGAGTAGTAATAATTGATGTTTACTGTAGTACTTTGCTTACTACATACAGAAAGAGATGCTTAGGCCTAGACATAATATAAAGTAGTAATAGTATAAAGGCCTCCTATTTTTTTTGTAATGATTATAGTTTATTAGGGCGCAGCATATTAGGGTGCATAGGCAAGTCGAGTTTTAGCCTTCAGAATAAACACTTTGTAATAAGAACCTTAATAGGGTTAGCGGTGGCCAAAGGGAGTTTAACATGACCTTCAATGTAGAAGGGTCTACATTTTTATTTTTATTTATTTCAACTTTATTTCACGAGGGTAGCTCTAACAGCTGCACTACAGTAGTACAGCTGACTTGAAGAGGCCCTCGAAAGAAAAACAATACATAAAAATATATACACAATATAGAATCGATAAGATGTGTATAAGAGACAAGTAAGTAAAAGCTTCATTACGGTAAAGTTCAAAAACAATATAATAAATAAAATATTGAATAAACATTGTAACATTCATTAAAAATACAATAAACTTTAAAATTCATTATGAAATTACAAGGTGATGGTTAAAATCTGAATTTTATTGCTTTTCTCTGAGATATAATTTTAACTTGGTTTTAAAATTAGAATAAGATATATTGCATTTAAAAGGAAGAGTGTTAAG